TTATCAAACTATACTAGGACTAAAACAAAACTGCTAGGAGCAGGTGAAAACTTCTTCTGTTGCCCTTCAGTTTCCCTTCTAAAAAAGCACTGAGAACTTTAGATGGGGGCTGTCCACTCTGAAAAGCTTTACCTAGTGGATATTTTGAGAAGAAGCTATTTTGACCAATCAATTTAGGTTGAGGATAGAATAAAATTAACTCCTTATTGGCCAAGTGGGATTGGACACACATAAGTTCTCAGTGTACGTAGAAACAACAGAGTGATAAATCATAAGATACAAAAAGTGATATAGGATACCAATACGAGAAGGTAATAGGAAGGATGAGAAGGATAATGGCAATACAGCCCTAATACATGGGTAAACATCCTTAGACATAAGACGGTGTGGTGGGAATTAGAGATTTAGCAGAGTGATGGCACAAGGGAAAAAAACTTTGTGTCTAGTTGTTTTTGCATGCCATGCCCTATATTTATTATTACATGTATTTATTATTATATAATAATATATTATTATAATAATTATATTATTTTCTTAATACAATGGATATATTATATATCTTATATTAACTTATATATTTATAAATATAAATATATATATAAATATATATATAACAGATATAATTTTATTATGTTATAATATAATGCAATACCCTATAGTTATTATTAATTATATTATTTTCTCAACACAATGGATATATTATATATCTTATATTAATTTATATAACAGATATAATTTTATTATAATCTAATGCAATGCCCTATAGTTATTATTACATATATATATATAATTATATTATAATATATTAGTTATATTATTTTCTTAATATAATGGATATATTTTATATCTTATATTAATTTATATATTTATAAATAAATAGATATAATTTTATTATAAAATAATGCGATGCCCTACGTTTATTATTATATATTTATTAATATATAATAATATAATATATTACATTATATTATATTATTATTATAATGGATATATTGTATCTATTATATTAATTTATATATTTATAAATATATATAACATATACTTTTATTATATTAATTACTTTATATTATAATTAATATAATATATTACATTATATTATTATAATATATATATTATGTTTATTATTATTGTGTGCCATTGTTACATTTTACTTCCTGATCCTGACATAACTCCCAGCCAAGCCTCCTGCCTATCTGTGGCCTCACTTCTCCTTTTATGTATGTGAGGACACGAACTGTGGAAAAAAGGGCCCTTCTTCACATTTGTCCTTACCATATAATGCCCACTAGCCATGCTGAAAATAATATTTCCTGTCCCTGCCCTGTTATTTTGTGGCTAGCGAGGAAAGACTATCATACTGTATGAACAGAGAATACAGTTTTTATAGCCCAGTAAGTGGAACTAATCTTTGGCTGATGTTCATAATTCGTTCAATTGGTTTTTACTGCAGAAGTGTTCGGTCTAAAAGCACTTATTCAGAGAATCTCCCAGGAACTGTTTTAAAGAAAGATGGAAACTGGAAATCCAGTGTTGCAGGGAACAATGTTTTCAGTTTCCAAAATTAACCCAGTCTTCGGAATTAGTTTAAATAAACTTGAGGGCCTTTTCTCAAAACAACCTTTTGACATTTTAGGGATTGTAGACAACATTTTGGCTCCTGACCCCAACTGCTGAAATGCCTGTATTTTAGATTCACGTTGACTTTGTTATTTGATGCGCAGCTTGAAAAAGAGGATTTGCAGGCTGCCATCCTAGCAGCGGTAACGGCTGAAAGGGAAAGCATGGAAAAAACTCACGACCAAGAAAAAGAATTATGGCAAGCCGAGAGAGACAAAGATCGTGAGAAGATTGCTCAAGCGGTAGAAGAAGCAGTGGAACGGCAAAAACAGAAATCCGAAGTTAGTGAATTATATGTTCAACGTTTTACGTTTATGGACCTACCTGCCCATCTATGTAAATCAGTGTGGGTGTTATTTATCCGGATGGTTCTGAGCCACGGTCTGGATTCGGGCTGTTTGATTGGCTGGTTGTTGTTGCTGGGCCATAGTCCTTGGTGTGTAAGTATTGTCTGTGCGCTGCAAATGGTGTCTGTTTGTTTGGTTGCCTCTGAGTCATAGTCTGGTTTTGGGTTGTTTGATTGGTTGGCTGGCTGTCATTGTCGAGACGTGGTCCGGTTTACATCGCACAAAAAGGTATTTAAAGGCCAGTGCTCTGATAGATGAGCACAGTTCAAAGTGCATTGAAGATGTCCCCCCCAGATGGAGATGAAACGTTTGCAGTCAAATCGCCAAGCTTGGAGATCAAACTAACAGCCCAACAAAGATGATTAAGGAACTGGAGGTTAAAACATATAAAGAACAATTGCAGGAATTGGGGATGTCCAGTTTAATGAAGAGAAGGATGAGGGGGGACATGATAGCAGTCTTCCAGTATCTCAGGGGTTGCCTCAAAGAAGAGGGAGTCAAGCTATTCTCCAAAGCAGCTGAAGGCAGGACAAAAAGCAACGGATGGAAACTCATCAAGGAGAGAAGCAACCTAGAACTAAGGAGAAATTTCCTGACAGTTGGAACAATTAATCAGTGGAACAACCTGCCTCCAGAATTTGTGAATACTCCAACACTGGAGGTTTTTAAGAAGAGACTGGACAACCATTTGTCTGAAATGGTGTAGGGTTTCCTGCCTGAGCAGGGGGTTGGACTAGATGACCTCCAAGGCCCCTTCCGACTCTGTTATTATTATTATTATTATTATTATTATTATTATTAACCAGCAATCCGAGCTACGAATATTCAAACACCTCTCTGTCAACTTTTCCCTATTGAAACAAAAATAATCCACCTGACTTTCTGTAAAGGTCTAATCCCTTTTAGGTAAATCCAGATTTGCTAGCTATCTTCTTAAGCTGAAAATACTCTTTTGGGAGAAAGAAAGATGACAAAAATAAATTTATATGAGATGGTCACAGGAGCAGAGAAGATTTTGGAGAGCCGTGTCTGCAGCAGCTGAACGGTTTAAGTAAATCCCAAAGTCCGTTTGTTTCTTTTGCTGCAATTTCCACTTTGAAACATATGTTATCCAGGTGGATCAGGGCAAATTATGAAGGGAAGCCTATTTTATTCAAAGGAAAGCCTCAGATAGTCTCCTTAGTCCTTCTGGAATGCAATAAAGTGGAAAGAAAACTTAACTTCCTAAAATAAGAAACTTTTTTTCTGATTACAATAATATGCTGGCGTTTCCTCTACTGTTTCATGATTTTTTATAGCAGACGCTGAAAAGTCTTTGCAATCAGGATGGGGTGCTGGTAAAAGTCTACTGTTCCTGTTCTATTTTTAGCACCTTGCTTAGATTTGACAGGGACCTTTAAATACAAAGGCCAATTTTTTGCACTGTTGTTGGAAAAAAAATCATTTCTGGATCCTTCCTTCAACTCGATTGTTTTTAATTCAAACCATTTGTGCGCTACTCCCTGAAAAGAATACAGTGGAGCACCCAAGAATTGTAATCCTCTTTCTTATTGTTTGTATATATTAAATGTTTACTCCATCTGTATGGAATAAAGTTACATAAGATACAGATGTTGGGAACCATCTACATCCCAATTCAGCAAGAAAAACAATACTCCCTAAAAAAGAAAGAAAGAAAGAAAGTAAATTGGCAGTTATATTTAGATGGGTGCAATTTCTCAGAAAATATAACTGGGATTGTTTTTATAGCTTACTTTTTGAAGAGGATCTGTGACGAGCTCCCAAATAAATCCATCCAAATGTAAACAACCGGAGGAAATGAACAAATAAAGCAACAAATTGAGATTATCTAAAAAGTACATCCTTTTCCATCTTCTGGACACAGATGGAAAGGAGTGGAAATTTTGGTGCCATTACGTGAAGTGTTAATACCACTTTACAAGGCCTTGGTAAGGCCACACCTGGAATACTGCATCCAGTTTTGGTCCCCACGATGTAAAAAAGATGTTGGGACTCTAGAAAGAGGGCAGAGAAGAGCAACAAAGATGATCAGGGGACTGGAGGCTAAAACATATGAAGAACAATTGCTGGATTTCGGTATGTCTAGTTTAATGAAGAGAAGGACGAGGGGGGACATGATAGAAGCGTTCCAGTATCTCAGGGGCTGCCCCAAAGAAGAGGGAGTCAAGCTATTCTCCAAAGCCCCCTGAAGGCAGGACAAGAAGCAATGGATGGAAACTAACCAAAGAGAGAAGCAACCTGGAACCAAGGAGAAATTTCCTGACAGTTAGAACAATTAACCAATGGAACAATCTGTCTCCGGAAGTTGTAGATGCTCCAACACTGGAAGTTTTTAAGAAGAAACGTTTTCAAAGAAAAACAATAAACTCCCGTTGCTTCCTGAAAAAGCATCCTTGGGATAACTATGACCTGGATGGCTGAGAGTCTCCATAGATCTTTAGCTTTCAATAAAGTGTTTAGCTTGCAGAAATGAAGCTCTTCCTACCGAGATAGCTCCGTCTTCCTGTCACCTCCTCCCTTTTGCAGCTTAGAGCCCAGATTTTCAGCTTTCCCGCTGATCCCATCTCTTTTGTTGGCAGCCTTATGACCTCACCTGTGAATGTTCCCACTCATCCTGTAAACTGCTTACGTTGCACGTAGGAAATAATCGATATGTGTGTGCACGATTGTGGGAGAAAGATCCTTCCTTCTTTGCGGTAATAATGGTCAAGAAATCCCGGCGATTACTGGAATTAGAATAAAACCCAGGACCTGTAGAGACAGAGATAGATGTTGCAGGATGGTTCACCACGACTGCATTTTGTTATTGTTGTTGTTCAATCTTCTGGGCCGTGGTGTCTAACCTGTGTTTTTTTTTCTTGGAGGGGAAATATCTATGGAGATTCTCAACCATCCAGTCGTGGGTGTCTCAAAGGTGCTTTATTTCCAAAAGGCAATTAGACTTTTTTGCGGTTTTTTGTCCTTTGAAAAGGGTTCGCTTCTTATCCAAGAGGTGTACAATAATAATAATAATAATAATAATAATAATAATAATAATAATAATAATAATAGTACTACTACTACTACTACTACTACTACTACTACTACTACTACTAGAGTTGGAAGGGGACCTTGGAGGTCATCTAGTCCAACCCCCTGCTCAGGCAGGAAACCCTATACCATTTCAGACAAATGGCTGTCCAGTCTCTTCTTGAAAACTTCCAGTATTGGAACATTCACCGCTTCTGGAGGCAGGTTGTTCCACTGGTTAATTGTTCTGACTGTCAGGAAGTTTCTCCTTAGTTCCCGGTTGCTTCTCTCCGTGATGAGTTTCCATCCATTGCTTCTTGTCCTGCCTTCAGGGGCTTTGGAGAATAGCTTGACTCCCTCTTCTTTGTGGCAGCCCCTGAGATATTGGAAGACTGCTATCATGTCCCCCCTCGTCCTTCTCTTCATTCCTTATATGCTTTAGCCTCCAGTCCCCTGATCATCTTTGTTGCTCTTCTCTGCAATCTTTCTAGAGTCTCCACATCTTTTTTACATCGTGGTAACCAAAACTGGATGTAGTAATCCAGGAAGTTTCTCCTTAGTTCTAGGTTGCTTCTCTCCTTGATGAGTTTCCATCCGTTGCTTCTTGTCCTGCCTTCAGGGGCTTTGGAGAATAGCTTGACTCCCTCTTCTTTGTGGCAGCCCCTGAGATATTGGAAGACTGCTATCATGTCCCCCCTTGTCCTTCTCTTCATTCCTTATATGCTTTAGCCTCCAGTCCCCACTAGTAGAAACAACGAGAAGAGACGTTAGAAAGATCTCAGAGGTGTAGAAAAAATGTATGTGGTAACCAAAACTGGATGTAGTAATCCAGGAAGTTTCTCCTTAGTTCTAGGTTGCTTCTCTCCTTGATGAGTTTCCATCCGTTGCTTCTTGTCCTGCCTTTAGGGGCTTTGGAGAATAGCTTGACTCCCTCTTCTTTGGGGCAGCCCCTGAGATACTGGAAGTCCTTCTCTTCATTAAACTAGACATACCCAATTCCAGAAACCGTTCCTTGTATGCTTTAGCCTCCAGTCCCCTGATCATCTTTGTTGCTCTTCTCTGCAATCTTTCTAGAGTCTCCACATCTTTTTTACATCGTGGTGACCAAAATTGGATACAGTCTGAAGAATGAATTCTGAATTCTGACATTTTCTTCAAAGGGAAATAAAGCAAAGAAAGTTCAGTTGCTTTTTTGGGGGGAAAAGCACTTTTGGGGTGTCTGTAAGGGGCAGTACTCTCCTTGAATAAATGATTCTTAGAGACAATTCCATTTAATATCTTAGATCGGTGTTTTTAAGCCTTAGCAACTGAAGATGGGTGGAGTTCAACTCCCAGAATTTCCCAGCCAGCTGTGCTGGCTGGGGAATTCTGGGAGTTAAACTCCACCCATCTTCAAGTTGCTAAGGTTGATCTCGATTGAAGGCCTAGATTGGTTCTAAACAACACAATCTCCCATTCAAATATTAACCAGGTCTGATCCTACTTAGCTTTGGGGGATCAGTCAAGGCAGAAACGAGAAACGTAGAATGTCTTGGTATCACATTTTAGACTGGTGCTTCTCATCTTGAAGATGGGTAGACTTCAACTCCCAGAATGCCCCAGCCAGTAAGCTCATTTACAAATTCTGGTAGTTGAAGTCCACACATCTTCAGGATTTTCAGAGTTAAGAATAATGTTAAAGGAGGTATTCATGGGGTGGGAGAAAACTGAGGTACTGTGCGGTGCTGAAAATGTTGAAGCAAAATAAGCACATTATTATCCTAACTACTCTTTTTTCTAAATATATCTATGTTAAAACTTGGTTATTAAGACTTTTTTCTAAATATATCTATGTTAAGACTTGGTTATTCCAGCTTGCAGGACTGGCCTAGGGTAATTTTTAGAGGGGTTTTAATTACATTTTAATTGGACAAAGTTTAATATTTCTTTTAATTAATTTTAAATTTGTATTGTTATTTATGTATTTTAACTGATTGTCAGCCGCCCTGAGTCCACGAGGAGAAGGGCGGGATATAAATCCAAATATAAATAAATAAATAAATAAATATGTGTGTGTGTGTTAAAATATTAGGAAATGGTAAAAGCAGCAATCCTAGAAGAACAAAAGAAAAGTGAGAAAGCTGTAGAAGAAGCTGTGAAGCAAACGAGGGAAGAACTGATGGAATATATCAAGGAGCAGAAAAGAGTAAGTGACATCTTAAAGACAAGAGTGGTCCCAATTTTGGAGCTGGAGAGAATTATGCAAAGAGTTGGCTCAAAACCTGCTTAGAATTGCTAGATGGCTTGGTTGGGTAGGTGTCCGTGAGAATCAAGGACGATTCACCAGATGTCTGACCTGACTCAGAGACATTTTCTCAAAACAATATAATTGCACCTAGTTGGGTATAATGTGACATGTTCATGGATGGGAGGGGAAATTCTGTACTTTTACTAATGGGGCTTGGGTTGGGGTTTACCAGAACTGGTTAAATGTCAAGGTTCTGACTGACGAACCCAACCAAGCAAACACCTTCAAGACACTCCGATCTCTTAATGTAAAACTTTATTGAGTACATCATTTCGGCACGTATGAAAGCAAAACCAGATCTATCTATCTATCTATCTATCTATCTATCTATCTATCTATCTATCTATCTATCTATCTATCTATCTATCTATCTATCTATCTATCTATCTATCTATCTATCTATCTATCTAGCATTATCTATCTGTCATTATCTATCTATCTATCTATCTATCGATCTATGCTATTGTTATTGCTATTGCTATTGCTATTGCTTTGCTATTACTATATCATCTATCTATTTCTATCATCAATCTATCTATATCATTTGGCTATATCTATCTATCATCTGTCTATCATCTATCTATCTATCTATCATCTGTCTATCATCTATCTATCTATGCTGTTGCTATTGCTATATCATCTATCATCTATCTATCTCTATCATCTATCTATCTATCTATCTATCTATCTATCTATCTATCTATCTATCTATCTATCTATCTATCTATCTCTCTCTACCATCTGTCTATATCTATGTATTATCTGTCTATATCTATGTATTATCTGTCTATCTATGTATTATCTGTCTGTCTGTCTGTCTGTCTGTCTGTCTATCTATCTATCTATCGTGCATGAGAGTTCACACACACACACACACACATAGATGTGCACACACACAGATAAACACAGAACAAAATATTAATGAAATGAATATTAGAACAACTCCTACATATGCCTACTTAGGTAGGTAAGGAAATATCTAGAAGTGAAAAACCAAATTCCAAAAAAATCCAGTTCTGAGCCGTGTATCCTCTCTACAATCCTCCCCAAATTATGTGTAAAATTAAAGTTGCTCTGTGCTGCTTCACGCCAAGCTAAGTAAAACATTTCACAGAAATTCTGGAAAAGCTTCAGACTTGGCTGTTGCCAAACCTTTGGTATTAAGGAAATATTTTGTTGTTGGGCAGCCATTAATGATGCCTTCTTTTTTAAAAAAAATCATTTTGCGTCAACAGTAAAGGGAACTTCATTTTGTTCCACGAAATCTATCTGGTTCCTTTCTACTTTGGGGGGGGGTATCCGTTGTAAAAGAAGACCTTGAGAAGCATCCCCAGTTTATTCATGGTGATATTTGTGGTGCAGCTTTTCACTCTGCTGCACAGGTGGTCCTCTACATCTGACCGTCCATTTAGTAACTATTCAGAGTTACACTAGCACCGGAAAAAGCGACCGGTGGCCGTTTTGCACACTTACGCCCGTTTGCAGCATCCTCGTGGTCCCATGATCAAAATTCAGCTGCTTGGCAACTGACTCGTATTTACGACGGTTGCAGCGTCCCGGCGTCACGTGATCCCCTTTTGTGATATTCCGACGAGCAAAGTTAGTGGAGACCTTCAGAAAAGGGGTAAACTCATTAACAACAGAAATACAAAGCTATCTTACCTGAGATAGTCCACTCTCTAGTCCAGCGTTTCTCAACCTTGGGAACTTTAAGATGTGTGGACTTCTGGGAGTTGAAGTCCACGCATCTTAAAGTTCCCAAGGTTGGGAAACCCTGCTCCAGTCCATCATTGACTCTTTCCAGATCTTACCTCGCTTTTCAGAACAGGATTGGCTTATATGCCAACTTCATGTCTGAATGACACACCTTGCTAGCACAGACACAAAAAAAAGAACATGGTTTGTACCACTAGAACAGACATATAGGCTTAGACACCAAACCTCACAAGCCATATCTGAATGTTCCTGCATAAACCCATTACTCTTCCCTTCTCCTGGGCCCTCCCCGCTTGGTCCTTTCGTAAATGCCCAATGGGGCTCAATCTAGGGGTTTTGGTAACAAGCCCTAAAGTTTGGCACCTCTTTGGTGGGTGTTGGTATTTCATTCTCATGCTTGGGTCCCTGTATCTGCCAGGGTCTCTTCCAGGCTGGCACCTCCAGTTCTTTTACTCCAGTCTATGGAGGTTCTCAGTCATCCAGGTCATGGTTGTCCCAAAGGGATCGTGAAAAAAAGCACCTTTGGGACTCTCATCCTGTCAGAAATTATTATATTAGCGAAAACACCAAGCAGGTCTGAAGCATTGGTCAGACCAAGTTCAAACCATAACTATGTTAAGATTTTTCCCAGCTAATGCTACTAGTTTTGCCAGCTTTCTGTAAAGTCCCTATTCATCATGATGATGATGATGATGATGATGATGATGATGATGATGATGATGATGATGATGATGATAATAGTAGTAGTAGTAGTAGTAGTAGTAGTAGTAGTAGTAGTAGTAATAGTAATAGTAAAGTTGGAAGGGACCTTGGAGGTCATCTAGTGCAACCCCCTGCTCAGGCAGGAAACCCTATACCATTTCAGACAAATGGCTGTCCAGTTTCTTCTTAAAAACTTCCAGTGTTGGAGCCTTCACAGCTTCTGGAGGCAGGTTGTTCCACTGGTTAATTGTTCTCACTGTCAGGAAGTTTCTCCTTAGTTCTAGGTTGCTTCTCTCCTTGATTAGTTCTAGGTTGCTTCTCTCCTTGATGAATCTAACATTGTAACATCCGATTTGTAGGAAGTATGGAAGATGGATGTGATGCATGGGTTTATTCTCTGCAAAAATGCCCGATTCCCTGCACTCAGCCTGGATTGCAGATCTTACCAGCCACAAAAATACAGGAATGACTTTTTTTTTTTTAAATTGGCCATTTATTAAGTGTTCCACTTTGAGACAGGGGGGGTCAACGAAGGCAGGAATAGATGCATATGCTTTGAGGAATGGTAGGCAAGGATTACGTTTGCGCCCCAGGACCCGGTCATCCATACGGCCCAGCAAGTGACCTCTGTGTGATTTGCATGATGTGATCATAATAGTCCTGACATCGTTGTGGCTTTCAAAAATGCCCTCCAGATGCTTTGAAGCCCTTGTGGTGAATCCCTGCGCAGCCCTTGAAGTCACAAGCTGCTTTTCTATGGAACTGAGTTGATTTATCTTCAACGGAATCCACTTCATCCTATTTTTCCAAAACAACCGCTTTAGCGTTCAACATCCTTTTA